ATCCAATGCTTTAAGGTCAGTTTCGTTATAGTATGACTTATGATTTTCACTGAAAATTGACTCATGAAACTTGAACATTGTCGCGCTGACTTTGTTGTATTATTCCTCTGTTTCCACCAAGATATCATCATTGATTCTATCATGGTCACGGTGCTGTGTTACAATGCTGTAGGTTACCGTTTTCTGTTTCTTGCCTATCTTGTGTGTTAAATCAGACTTGATTTCTACTGCCCTACCTGCTGTGTGCCTAACCTGTGGTTCATATCCTGCTCTTTTCATGTCATACATTGCTTTGTTCAAATCATTGCCTTTTTAAAACTAATCTGTATTCCTCTTCATCCTTTAAACTCATCACATCATCGATACCATCAATCATTTTGTATTTAAGAGGTTCTTCTCTGTGGTTGATGTAATAGTTGTTTCCAATCCTGAACTTGTAGAGTTCATCAACACTTTCCTTTTAAGTAATTTCAGGTTATAGTTCAAAGTGTATATGTGGCTGTTCTTAATCAATACGTTGAAAGTTATGTAGCTATGGCAGTTAAAGTTTACAGGGTTATGTTTGTAAATCAAGTTGCTGTCACTATCATATAACCTTGCTTGGACATTGAAATGTTTAAAAACTTTATCAAATTCATTGGCTGATGACTCTGCCGCAGCCACTCAGCCACTCAGCCGCTCTGCCAGAGTGGCTGGAGGAGCCACTCAGCCACTCTGCCAGAGTGGCTGGAGCAGCCACTCAGCCACTCAGCCAGAGTAGCTGGAGCAGCCACTCTGCCAGAGTGGCTGGAGCAGCCAGTCCCCAGCCACTCAGCCCATCAGCCACGCAGTGGCTGGAGCAGCCACTCAGCCACTCTGGCAGAGTGGCTGGAGGAGCCACTCAGCCACTCAGCCACTCAGCCACTCTCCCAGAGTGGCTGGAGCAGCCACTCAGCCACTCAGCCAGAGCGGCTGGAGGAGCCCACTCCGCCAGAGTGGCTGGAGCAGCCACTCAGCCACTCAGAGTGGCTGAGTGGCTGAGTGGCTGGGGTGAAAATTTCCGCCATTGCGCGTTCAATCTGATAAGATGGAGCTGGAAAAGGCAATCACAACTGAACTTTAAAGTAGTTTTGAAAAAGAAACGGATAGATAAGAAAGCATTCAGGATGAATTACTTGCATCTATTTAATGTACATGTTCTTTTTCTCCATCCATCTGCCTTTCGTTACGCCCGACCGCCCAACTCTTCATCGTGACCCCGTCCATCACCCCAACTTCATTTAACTCTCTCCCCTCCATCCCTGCTCACTACTCTCCACACTTTCTGCCCCTAAAATTCTTTTCGGACAGAGGAATGAAGGTATTGAGCGGAGATGGACATGTAGAAGGGTGGAGAGGGGGAGAGAAGAGAAAAAATTGCGGCAAAGTGAAAAGGGAAGGAGAGAATCCCAAGCAGTACATAACGCGAAGGATGTGAATAAATACAGTACTGTAGGTGTATCCTTATATTTGGTAGCAATTTTTGATCACCTTCTCCACACCCCACCCTTCATTCCACCATCGCTCCACCCTCGCTCCAGCCTCGCTCCACCCTCGCATCACCCTAGCATCACCTTCACCCAACCTTCCCAACCATATCCACCCCTTCCACCTACCCTTCCACCCACAACTTTCCACCTACTTCACCCCCTTTCTGTGTCTTTCGGGGAGGGCAAGAAGCTGTGGAGAAGCGGCGAGGCAAGGCGTAGAGAATCCCAACAGGTGGGAAAACATTGGCACATGCAGAAAGCAATGAAAAGCATACACTTTACATTGCATGCGAGACAAACATGCCTTAGCCCGCCCTGTGCTTTGTAATGGCGCCGCTGTTTTTGGATCGTGTCCAAAGAGAATTATTCCAACGAAAGTTGGAAATAGCTTCAAAGAGAAATTTAAAGGGCAATTGATCTGTGCAAGCAAATTTCAGAAGGAACCGGAAAAGATCATTTCAATTGAAATTTAAGCTACTTTTGAAAAGGACATGTACAAAGGCTAGATAAGGGCACAGCCAGAATGAAGATATGACAGTACACTTGAAGGAAAGCTATGAATGAGGATATCGGATCTTTAGGCTAGATATTCCAAAGGTAAATAGAAACTCAGAACAATGATAAAAGTTTGACTGGCACTTGCAAGAAGATTTTCCTCTCCTTTCGCCTCATCTCTCTGCTCGACCCTTCATTATAACCCTGTCCATCACCCCAACTTCACTTAACCCTCGCCGTTTTTACATCTCTTTTCACTCCTCCATCCTTTCAGCCCCTAACATTCTCCTTGGAACAGGAACGGAAGGAGAGAAGAGAAGCAGCCGTGGAGAAGTGAAAAAGGCAAGGAGTAGCGAATTCAAAAAAACGGTGAAGAACGCAAGCAATGTAAATAAATATGCATCGTTTTCAAGTTTGTGCAACCTTCTCCACCCTTCATTGAGCCCTTGCTGCCCTTGCTCGATCTTTGCTTCACCCTCACTCCACCCTCACTCCATCCTGGCCGGACCATGGCATCACGCTTCCTACCAATCTCCTAACCCCTGCGCACTCGCAATCCGCCCCCTTTCCATTCACACTTTACCACCTACCCATGTTTAGGCCTTTTCACCTCATTTTCAGCCTCTTTCTTCTTTGTAGGTGGAGAGGGGGGAAGGCAAGAAGCTGTGGAAAAGCGGCGAGGCAAAGCGCAGATAAAGAGAGGAAAAGCACAAGTGGACAGGTATCAATGAGACAAGCATTGGCACATAAAGAAAAGCAATGAAAAGCACACACTTTAATGTGGTAAGCCCAACAAGAAACCAGCACCAAAATCATTATAATTGGATTGTATAGAAAAACCCCAAATGAGGTTCTTTGCCATGTAACATCGCCTGCGCAGTTCTTTGCCACATTACATTGCCTGCGCAAAAACCATGGCCCCACCCTCTGCCTTTCAAAATGTGGCCGCCAATTTTGGATCATGTCTAAAGAGAATTATTCCAACGAAAATTGAAAATTTAAAGAGAAACTAGAAGACAATTTTGTTCTGTTCTTTGACAGCAAATTGAACATGGAGCTGGACAAGACAATTTCAACTGAAATTCAAATAGGTTTTGAAAGAAATTGCTAAATAGATAAAAGAGCAGTCCGGATGAATTGTTCATGTATGTGTTGTATTTTGTTTCTCTCCACCCATTTGCCTTTCACCACACCCCACCGCCCAACCCTTCATCGCGACCCTGCCCATCACCTCAATTTCATTTAACCCTCTCCGCTTTCCATGCATGCTCACTCCTCTTCACCCCTTGTCCCCTAGCACCTTATCTTCAGAACAGGAATGAAGGTGTTGAGTGGAGGCAGAGATGGACATGTAGAAGGGTGGAGAGGGGGATGGAAGAGAAAAAGTTTGCGGAGAAGTGAAAAGGCAAGGGAAAAAGCACAAGCAGTGGATCAAGCAAAAAACGAAATAAATATGCATCGTTTGTATCAATTTTTGGCGACCTTCTCCACCCTTCACTCCACCCTTCACTCCACCCTTCACTCCACCCTTCACTCCACCCTTCACTCCACCCTTCACTCCACCCCCGCTCCGCCCTCGCTCCCCCCACAGAAAAAGCAATGAAAAGCATGCACTTTTACATTGCCTGAGAGGCAAAATGCCTTAGTCCACCCTATGCTTTGTATTTGCACTGCTGCTTTTGAATCATGTCTTAAGAGATTTGTTCCAAGGCACATTGAAAAGTATGTCCAAAAAAGAAAGTAGACATACATTTTTTTGATCTATGCAAGCCAATATAAGATGGAGCTGGAAAAGGCAATCACAATTGAACTTTAAAGTAGTTTTGAAAAAAGAAACGGCTAGATAAGAAAGCAGTCAGGATGAATTACTTGCGTCTATCTAATGTACATGTTCTTTTTCTCCATCCATCTGCCTTTCGCTACGCCCACCGCCCAACTCTTCATCGTGACCCCGCCCATCACCCCAACTTCATTTAATTCTCTCCGCTTTCCATCCCTGCTCACTCCTCTCCACACTTTCTGCCCCGAAGATTCTTTTCGGAAAGAGGAATGAGGGTATTGAGCGGAGATGGACATGTAGAAGGGTGGAGAGGGGGAGAGAAGAGAAAAAGCCGCGGGAAAGTGAAAAGGGAAGGAGAGAATCCCAAGGAGTGGATCGCGCAAAGGATGTGAATAAATACAGTCGATGTATCCTTGTACTTGGTATCAATTTTTGATCACCTTCTCCACACCTCACCCTTCATTCCACCATCGCTCCAACCTCGCTCCACCCTCGCATCACCCTAGCATCATCTTCACCCAACCTCTCCAACCATATCCACCCCTTCCACCTACCCTTCCACCCACAACTTTCCACCTGCTTCACCCCCTTTCTTCGTCTTTCTCCTTTGTAGGTGGAGAGGGGGGAGGGCAAGAAGCTGTGGAGAAGCGGCGAGGAAAGGCGTAGAGAATCCCAAGAGGTGGGAAGACATTGGCACATGCAGAAAAGCAATGAAAAGCATACACTTTACATTGCATGCGAGACAAAATGCCTTGGCCCGCCCTATGCTTTATAATTCCGCTTCCGTTTTTGAACCGTGTCCAAATAGAATTATTCCAACGAACATTTGAAATAGCTTTAAAAAGAAATTAAAAGGAAATTTATATTTGCAAGCAAATTTCAGAAGGAACCGGAAAAAGACAATTTCATTAGGAATTTAGATTTCGGAAAGGAAATCTACAAAGGCCAGGATAAATAAGACAGCAAACTTGAAGGAAAGCCAAAGGAAATGCAGCCATGAATTTATAGAAACATTGAAAAGGAGATGAATATGGAGATCGGATTTTAGACTAGCCTTTCTTATGGAATTGTAATTGAGGTCCTCAGAAGCGAGATCCAGAACCCCGTCATTCTATACATAAAGGTCCCCTCCACATATATATATATGTATATTGTACAGTAAAAATTTCTATGTACTTCAATACTGCATCGCCACAGTGTCCTTCTGCTTAAAAAGGAACTGGACTGTTCATCGCCACAGCCAAAAAGGCTGCTGCTGCCACCACTGACATCCGACTATCTTGATCCTCGCCACGTGAAGTTTCAGCAGTCCCAAATGATCCAAATGGACCCCCGAAAAACACTGCTACAGCTACAGTATCAAAGCTAATGTGGGGAGGTAAATTGCAAAACACCCTGCTCTGGATTATTCAAACATGAGATAACATGAGTTTCGGTTCTGCTCAGACGTCCGGTGTTTGAAAGTTTCCCAGTGTCAGATTTGTTCAAAGCTGTTCCGGCCCAATAATCTGTGATCCAAGAGTGGTTTGAGATGGCTTAAGGATGGGATAATATTATTATATACTAATATTATACTAATATATTTAATATTAATACTAATATTAATATCATCCCATTAATATCCCATCATGGAAGGCTAAAGGAACAGGACCCCTATGTTCCAGCCGTCCTCGGACGGAGCCCAGTCAGGAAGGTATTGCTGGTAAGACTCCTGCTCGTCAGCAGTCATTCTCACTCGTCAGCATCACCAACAATATGATTGGTATAACCATAGCAGTAAGAGTAATGGTAAGAATGACAACAATTATACTAAACATCATGACATTGAACATATGATTATGATTATGACAAGTATAATGACAATAAGCACTATACTCATCAAACTCATCATACTCATCATATTCATCATGCTCATCATGCTCATTAAACTCATCATACTCATCATACTCCTCCTCAAAATCATCATCGTCGTCGTCGTCGTCATCATCATCATCATCCTCATCATCATCATCATCATCATCATCGCTCTGCCTGGGCACAAACATCATCCAGCTCGCAGGAACTACTTTACATCCCTGGGTTGTTCATCTTTGCGGGTACGATGTTAGTCGATTATTATCATGGAGTTGACATTGAACAGTAACAATTCTGTGTGCCGCCTTGTTCCCATTTCAGCAATCAAAAATCATGCCAGTTTCTCCCTGTTATTTGCACTGATATTAAAGGAAATTGAGAACGATCATCATCAACAAGAAGTAAACAAAGGACACAACAACCAGTTCAATGTAGTTACTGAATGTGTTGAGAATTGAGGGACCACAAACTGTGGGTCCCCACCATAAAAGACCAATCATTATGGTAAATTGGATGATAACTTGGGCCCCATGGCCACGCATGACCCTTGGAAACCAAACCAGTTGCTGGTGACCTCCAAATCACATTTTGCTGCTTAATCATCCCATCCCAAAAGAATGGCTTGGTTTACTCGGGAAAATTCCACAAAAAACTATGGATTTCCCATCCATTTTCTCGATTTCATCATGACATCTGGGAAATTCCCATGGATTTTTCCTCATTTTTCCCATTTTTTCCAATTTTTCCCATTTTTCCCATGGATTTTTCCCATCCCCCAACCCGTTGCACCCCGAGGATGGCGCCCAGCGTGGCGCCCAGCGCCACGCTGGGCGTCAGGGTGCCGCCGGCGGCGCCGGAGCCGATGGCCGCGGCGGTCATGAGGGCCTTTTTGAGCACAGCAAGGGGAATATTAATGGTATACTAATGCTGTGCTAAATGGTGTATATCCTAATGGTATTAATACTCATGGCTAATATATTAATGGTTATTATCCTAATGGGAATATATTAAACTAATATTAAACTAATATTAAACTAATATTCCATCAACTAAGATTCCATTAGTTAACTAATATTAATATTATTAATATTGTAATATATACCATTAAGTTAATCAACTAATGGTTATATCATTAACTAATGGTTATATATCAATGGTTATATATCATTAACTAATGGTTATATCAATGGGATATAATCTATGGTTATGACTAACAGTTCGCCATGGAAAATCATCATGCTATTAATAGGTAAACCATCTCTAAATGGGCCATTTTCAAAACAAAGTGCTGGTGAATTAAATTCTGGTTGGTGTTTTGAACCTACCCTCTGGTCATGTCAAAATGGCCATTGAAAATGGTGATTTATAGTGGATTTTCCCATTAAACATGGTGATTTTCCATAGTTATGTTAGTTTACCAGAGGGTATGGCCCTATTAATGGTAATATCAATGATATATCAATGGTATATCCATGGTATATTAATATGGAAAATCTATGGCCCTATTACCCTCTGGTAAATTAACATAGACCCTGGTAGATAGGGGTTGGAAGACTAGTTTCGACTATAAATTGGTCAGTTTCAGGGTCTATGTTAATTTACCAGGGGGTAATGGTAATATCAATGGTAATATCAATGGTATATTAATATGGAATATCAATGGTATAATCATATTAGTAATATCAATGGTAATATTAATGGCAACTGATATATATATATATATACTAATGGTATATTGTCAAAAGGTATATAATGGTTTTAATGGTAGAACAATATATCGGGATAAATTGTAATATTTCACTAATCTGAAATAAGGCTGTTTTGGGATATATAGTTACCCTTACTAGTCATCATTCCAGTGAGGTCGCAGTGAGGTCGCTATAACTTACCCATATATATATATGATTAATGGTATATGGAGGTTTCCTGAAATAAGGGTGCCCCCAAATAGACAACTTTAGTTAATATATAACTTTTAATGGTATAACATATTTATATGTGTAATATATATATATATGTCCATGGTATGTATAATTAGTGGTATCTAACTGTTAACAATGATATAGTTGGTATATAGTGGTTTATCAACTAAATGGGATGAATAATGATAGTAATAATGTTAATATACTGCACATAAATATCAACCAGGGGTACTAACTAATCAATCAACTATAGCTATATAATCGATTAATGATATATAGTGGTATACAACTAATTATGAACTATTAGAGTATATAACTGGTGTATACATGATGGTTAACACCTATGCAGTGGTTAATAACTATATACAACAACAATTAATCAATACCTATCATTGACTATAGTTATAATGGTCATTCATAGCTCATGATATAACTATAGTAAACTAGCTGTTCATTGTAGGTATTGGATAGTTTAGCCAGTTGTATAACAATCATTGTAAGATATTGTAAGTATCTAGCTACAGGTATATAATTTTAGGTATAAGACCAGGTGTTGCAGTAACTATTACCTATAATGCTATATAATCAACTAATGGTTATATAATTGGTATAGTAATAATCCCCAGGTGTTGTAATAGTTAGGCATAAACGTGTGTATATATTTAATACATATATATATATAATCAAACTATATAATTGTTATAATTGAATATTACGCTATCAATACCATTATATAATTGATTAGTTGTTTAACCTTGTAGTTATATGTTAAAGTAACCCGGTATGGTGTTATAACATGTTATAACCATGCACCATGGGCTATCCGCCGAACTAAATCTCCATGGCTCGTTCAAGGGATTTCGTAGCCAGCCACGTTTGATTGCCGGATATGTGTAACCAGGGCTATGGTGATCATAGCTGTAGTTACCGGTATATGCCACCTATCGGTACGCAACTTCCTGCCATGATGGTCTCTTGCCAGTGATGACTAGCTTGTTTCAGATCACAATTGCACCGCATTTAACTCGCAGATGGTCCAACACTTCAGGGTATAAGACTAGGAAGAACCATACAGTTCCAAGATGTTCCAAGCCTAGGGCATGCATACACCCATCGACGACTGGAGGTATTGACATGTTAAGTATCGAAACCTGATAGATGCCCTGGTCATTATGGTAATCCTCGCATATCCTGGCTATATGCTTGAAATAGGGGAACCCATAAGTTATCATCCAAGTGCTCTACCCCTGGATGTGAAGACTTCTGATAAGACTTCCAGAAATCTCCAAACCATCTGCCTTGGGAACCAACCCACCCCCACCTTCAGCAGTAGAAGCATTCCCAAGAAGGGTGTACTACGCTGCCTGGCGGCGAAAAATCCCGGTTGCATCGATGCTTCCTTTTCTTGAATTCTCTGATGCAAAGAGGCAAAGTTCGCTTTAGGCACATGTATGTTAACATACAGGAACATACATTAACCATGTAACACATGTATGTTAACATACAGGAACATTTTTCTTAACTGTCCGAGTGGTGTCCAAGGTTCAGTCTTCGGGCTTCAGATGGCTTCAGATTCATCCCATTCCGACCCGTCTATAGGTGGCCCACCTTTGCATGGCAATTTCCGCCAGCGCGCGGCCGTTGCCCAGCAGGCTGGGATAGGTACCTTATGAGCCGTTGGGCCCCGTTTACCCTGGGTGGACCCACGGCTTCGAAGGTTTACAACAGCCCAAGAGGAAAAAAGATCAGAAAAGCATGAGTCACCGATGGATATTCAATGATATTTACAAGAAATGGCTCGAAATGAATACAAATGAATACAAGATGTTGGAATACTTCCGGCTCCTGCATAACCTCCAGTCAAACACGGCAATGAATCATTCGATCAATCCCCATCCACGCAGAAATCCATGGATCTATGATGATCCAGGTCATCTATGACCAGCTCAGTCCAGGTCAGCCAGGGTGCGGCTGAGAAGAGCTAGAACCAAGAAGGCCAGTGGCATGAAGACAAAGATCGTCCAATCTCTCTGACCTGGCCAAAATTCTTCAACCTAGAAGAGCTAGTGAAACATAGTGATTCACACGTGACCGGAAAGAAGTTTTAAACAAGAACACATAATGCCATCATATACCATGCTTGTGGAGTTTGGGGTGGTCTCCAATGTATCCCCAACTTTGGTGGAAAAGACGCACTTACAAGCTCTCCTTATCTCTCGTTGCTTCTAGTCATTCAAATTTCTTGGATGTAAGCATGCTTATGTTCCGGAACACTTCTATTCTCTTGCTGTATTTAAATCTTGCGGGGCTCTATGTAAACGGAAGAGCAAACATCACTTGAAACCATCATAATCGCCAGTGTCATATAGAGCAGATGTCGGCGATGGAAGGCGGCACATTACAATATTTTACAGCGTTTACAGTACAACAACAATAAGAATCAGAATAATATCAAGCTACACGGAATTGAACAACTTCTGTACCAGGGCGATTGTAGCGCAAAACATTGTAAAACAACATTGGTGTGTTCATCATGTTCCCAAATATGAAATGCCATCCCTCCCAAACAGAAGGTGAAACTTCCCACATTGCAGACCACTGATATACCCCCTATGCACGTGGCCGGAGCTGGAGCCTTCTGCATGCTCTTCATCCCAGTCCTCTTCGGTCATGTCTTCTTCCTCTCCGTACTCTTCGTCCGCTGCAGTGGTTCTCACCTCAACGTCATGTCCCACTCCAACTGCGGTCAACAGTTCAACTGACCTTGGGCAAACACACCAATTTTCAAGAACCCAAAATCACCAACCAATATTTTAATGGGTCCGGAATTGTTTTGGGAATTATTTGTTTGTCCATTATGGGATGTTTTTTTGGATCTGCTTTTCTGCCCGTTTTTCTTGCTATTTGCAGCATTTTGGAGCTGGAAGCTGCCATTTCAACCGTATTTGCAATTATTTGCAACATTTCGGAGTTGGAACCTTCATTTTCCATTGTGTTTGCAACATTTTGGTGCTCAAACTTTTTCATGTTGCATGGTATTTTGCAACTAGGGTTCATTTAAGGTTGGTTTACGGTTGTTTTAGGGTTTATATCGGGTTGGTTTTAGGGTTGGTTTAGGTTCGAGAAGCGAAGAAGCAGAGAAGCAGGGAAAAGCAGAAAAGCAGAGAAGGAGAACAGTGAAGAAGCAGACAAGCAGAGAAGCCAAGAAACATCAAAGCAGAGAAGAAGAGAAAAGCAGAAAAACAAAGAGCAAAGAAGCAAAGAAGTAGGGAAACAGAAATCCAAAAAACATGCCCAAAAAGGGTGGAACAACTATCTCCAAAAAATAGCCCTCCTATGAAAATAATGTTCATTGTACAATGATGATATATGATGATCCTTTCCATCATGTACCAAGAGGCTTTGACTCTTGCAATGCCATCTGCGCTGTTCTCCACGCGCACGATTCGGAACTTCACCTGCGGGTGCAGGGACGAACCCCTGTTGGGACTATCAGCTTGCCAGCACCTGACTGCCAAGCGTGACATGAACATAAGTGGCTTCAAAGGCTTCAAACAAAATCACGAGAACATATGAGAAAAGCAAGATTTTCACAATATCCATCAATATCCAAGGCTCTTACCCAATGGCTATAGAAAATTATGGAAACACATTGAACCCCTTCAATACTCTCCATCCAGATCCTCCCAGATCCTCCAAAAATCCTTGTTTCAGAGGCGCACCCGACAAATGAAGCCATCCTTGTCATTGCGGCTGAGCCAAACTTCATCACCTTCTTTCACGCTTTGAAAGTCCACTTGCACGCGGCCCAATGGCTTGTAGCCTGCAGGGAATTGGTGGAGGGAGAATTTCGCCTTGAAACTAGGGCCTAGGGGTCTCTGTTTCTAGCACTTTTTAGGGCTTACTTGCAGTACCCCATTAAATTGAGATGCAACTATTCACATATCGAGATACATGGGGGAATTTTGAGAAAAACTGAGAATTCCCCAATTTCCCTTTTGTTTCAATGAACCATCCCCTTTTCCATCAAAGTGTCCATCAAATGTTCCAATCATTGATTTGTCCATCAATTGTTTATCCATTTTCCATTCCCAACCGTTCTGATTTCCATCCCCAGCTTTTCAAATGGCCATGACAATCTTATCAACTATCATCAACTATCATAATTTCACCAACGGGAAAAACTGATGACTTCAAACAAATGGTGGCTCCCTGCTTAGATGTGCATCTCAGGAATCGTAAGTGGGCAATAACATGCAGTAAGGGTATGTGGGTTATAAATGGTTATAAACGAATCACTTGGAAATTTCACATGACTAATTATGGACAATGACCACTTTTCCATCTTGTCATTCGGATTGATCATCGAACTCAGCCGTTGTCCATAGCAAACTGTCTGTTGAATTACCAAAGGCTATTTCCCATGAACGGATTCCCGAAGTGGTGCATTTCATTTCCCATTGGGCCAGGGAAACCCAACAAAATCACCTGGATCAAGCCCATAGCTATGAACAATCACCACTTTTCATCATTGAATGTTCCATGGCAAACGGTTCAATTCCCAGAGGCTGCAAAAATCCGATCCGATCCCAATCCCTAGCGCCTTCCACGAACTTGATGAAGCGCCGGAAGCAGGCAGCGCCCAAACCGGCCACTGGCCCCACCAGCAAGGCCCAGAGGCAAACGTCCCAGGTGGGCCACCTGGGTTGACTTCAGAAACTCGGGATTTGACCACAGAAAATCGACGTGTTTTCAGCATGGAAAATTGGATGTGGGGAAACAGCAGGAAACATTGGGATAAATGATGATAAATGTGGATGTGGACCGCCTTTGGGTAATGAAGTTTTTGTCTGCATTGAATCACTAGATAGTGATGTCTGGGCCAAGTGACTAGATGTCCAAAGGTATCCACAAAATCAAATGGTTTTGGCGCGATCTAGCTGGCAGTCCAATGCTAATAATGAATAAACTTAGTGAGTCTTCAACATCTAATCTATAGCTTTTCTAAACCAATCATAGCTTCAATGGAGCCGCTACGATAAGCCAAACATACCAAACAATGAACAAACATGCTGATGTTTGATGTGAATTCTGCGTTTCTGTTCGTAGATCTGTGGCTTTTCTGTGGGTTTTATGGAACTTTTGTTGATTCTGGAGGTTTCTCATCAATAATTCAATAGCAAACCTCCGGAATACCCCCCATTGCCGCCCCCCGTGAACGCCGTGAAAGTCAAGCCACCCATAGCCTCGGGCGTGTCAAATCAGGATCAACAATCCAACAACCGGGAGCCCACATGCTTGGGCAATGTTCAGATGTTTATCTATGAAACCACCCTATGTTGTTGTATTTGCATGTTGTTGTTTTATTTAAACAAAACTATATGCTGATCCAATATCTATCCATATCTATCCAATATATGTTGATTTCATCACGAGCTTTATTTGATGCCTATGTTTTTTTGCCATCTCAGGTTTGGGTCTGATCTCTCATCAGCTGCCATTGATACTCTCATCCCACAGAGGCAGGGGTCGAAGTCATTTTTTACCCAACAAAAAATCTGGAAAATCCATAGAAGTGACTGACAACTTGGATATCCCGGAAAAAGTCCCAGAAAATAGACTTGAGATGAGTTTTGATTTTAGATAGTTGCTGATAGTCATTGAACTAAACATCCCAACAAATTCCGTGGGTTGGGTAAGTGACTCACTTTATCCCCAGCGTCCTGGGTCCACAGTTGCGAGTGAGAGACTGAAACGAGGCATGGAGTACAAGCCGTGCGTTTCCACTGTGGTGCTTGTGACCTTGAGGGCCGTGACATCACTGGGGAAATGTAGGACTTGTTGCCTTCTTGCCATGATTATTGTTTTTATTATTGTTATTCATGATCATGATCATGACGACGAGGATGAGGATGAGGATGAGGATGATGATGATGATGGTGATGATGATGATGTCAATTAAGATTTGTGTTATCTAAGCAAGAAGGGAACAACCACAAACATGTTGATATTTCAAAGTTCACGCCACCCGAAGTCATCAAACATCTATAAACATCTATAAACATCTATAAACATCTATAAACATCTATAAACATCTATAAACATCTATAAACTATGAATTGAAAGGACACACCTGTAGATTTTTCCTGCAAAAAATACCATGATCACCTCATCCCAGGTCACATCATGTTGGTGGATTGGGTTTAAGGGAACATCTTAACCGGAAACCCATTTGGAAACCACGGTTTTTACATGTTTTACGCCCCAAAAATGTACTGGGCCCATGTTCAACCCCAAACCTAAGATTCAATAATTTATAGTTCCTAGTTATTTTCAGAGATTCATATATGTTTATAAATTTACATAGTATTCCCAAATATTCCCCAAGTTTTAGGTCCTGTTGGAGGTTTCCACTTAAACGCTCTCCAAGCGGCCAAGGTGGCGACCACCGAAGTGGTGATCGCAGGTACCACCGCTGCGAGGGAGATGTCCCAGTTCAGGACGTGTTCGATGGTGTATAAGGCGCCTTAGGTCAAGTGACAGATGGGGGAATGGGGCCACCAAATAAGATCAAATACCCTCTGGTGAACTAACATAGCAATGGAAAATGGCGACTTAGAAATAGTGGTTATTTTCCCAGCTATAAAATGGTGATTGTCCATTGCTATGTAAACGTTCACCAGAGGGTAATTAGCTAGATTCATAGGAACAATTGGGGTTTCCATAAATGGGGGTAGTACCCATTTATGGATGGTTACAAACGGAAAATCCATGAAAATCCATCTATAAATGGATGATATAGGGGTACCCTATGGCACCCCCATTTATGGAACACACCCCAAAAAGCTATGGTCAAAGGATTTATAGGAAGAAAAACAATTATATTGTGACTATATAAGCAATGGAGCAGTACACATTTTCAGACATACCACGGCATACCCACAGAGTTTGGCGACTAGGATGTGTGAGTGCTCTAATTATCAACTAAGCCATGTTCTAAATGTCTTACATCGTGGCACCAAATGAGGGAAATCCTTACGCCGTTGCTTACGCACACACAAGTTTTGCTTACGGGGATATCGTGTCTTGCGCTGAGCTTACGCTGAGCTTACGCTGGCGTTTTGCTTACGCCACACCCTTTCAAGGGGCCCCTTCCAAAACACGGAAGGTTTAGAACGTGGCTCAGCTGGGAGTACGCACCTCAATCAACAAACATCATCGGTCCCTGTTCAAATGGAGGGATGGCTTTGGGGAGTTGGGTGATTCTTGTAAACTGATGGACTCAGTGCCCATATGTGCCCATAGCAAGATTGGACATGTGGCACCGTGACACCGTGCTTTATGTCCTAATTCACAGTAAATCAAATCACAGTGTAATAACCAGTAAGCACACAACTCACAGAAATATCCTTGGTTTTTACCCATGCTTATTGATGGTACCACATACTCAGGTTGTTAGTTACAATCCACGTGAATAAACATGTTCGTTTCCTCTGCCCAACTGCATCTGACTCCAAGCGGCCACTAATTGGCACTGAATACACCTGGCACGCCAGTGTGGTGGAATGAGAGACGTGCTGTGACATGGGAGAAGCGCTCAGCCGTTCATTGAAAAAGAGAGGTCGAAGGCAATTTCACTTTCATGTAATTGAAGAATATTGAAGATGAAACATATTGAAACATCATATATATATATATTGCATTAAGATGCATTAAGATCATTTAAGATCATCACATATTTCTTTGGTCCAAATCATTCGTCAACCTTGGATCCCAACTTGCGTTTGAGTCCCCTCCGGGGCGCACCGCTGCCAAGCCGGCACCAGCCCCACAGGCCACCAGTATCTGGAGCGGATCAAGCAGCTGCCCACAGGCTAATCATGTGCTAGCTTACTGATCAATGACACCTCAGACTATCATTCAGACTGACTTTTGTTGTTGAAATATGTTGAAATGGAATTTCATGGAAATTCTACACTAAACAAACCCACAGGTGGGTTAATCCAGAGTTGACAAATGTTGATGTCATGTAACCACCAGCAACGGTGACGCATAGGGAATTTGCATGGCAATTGTGGCTAAACGGCTGAACCCGCTGGGTTGATGGAGTAATGCACGCTAGCTGAAGATGACTGAGTCCCAGCGCATTCCGCGCTCCAAGCAACCATAAAAAATCATCACGATATATCACGATCGAGTATAATTACTATGCAGAACCTGTAGCCTCTTAAAACACCATCTGTTGACCAGGGACGGGGGTCACATTCGCCCCTGAAAGAGGGTCACACTCGCCCCTGAACCAAAAAGGGTCACATTCGCCCCTGAACCACAAAACTTTCAATGTGGTACTCAACCCTTTAGGGTTAAACCTGGGGACAAGGGGACATTTAGGGGGACTGGGGAACCTTTAGGGGGGACTATGGTAACTTGCCTCTCTATTCAATATGTTACTCAACCCTTTAGGGTTAATTAAACCTGGGGATAAGGGGGCATTTAGGGGGACTGGGGAACCTTTAGGCGGGGGGACTTGGGGGCATATGGTGACTTGCCTCTCTATTCAATATGTTACTCAACCCTTTAGGGTTTACCCTGGGGACAAGGGGACATTTAGGGGGACTGGGGAGCCTTTAGGGGGGACTTGGGGGCATATGGTAACTTGCCTCTCTATTCAATACGTTACTCAACCCTTTAGGGTTTACCCTGGGGACAAGGGGTCATTTAGGGGGACTGGGGGACCTTTAGGGGCATCCAAACCGTCTTCGAAGGTGCCCGAAATGGATCTTACAACCTAGCATCCATAGTGTCCCATGGAAGTTGATTGACATGGCTCTTGGAAGGTAACATCCAAAGCGTCTTCGAAGTTGCTCGAAATGGATGTTACAACGTAGCAATGGTACACCGTAGCATCCATAGTGTCCTGGAAGTTGATTCAAATGGCTGTTGGAACGTAGCATCCGAGGCGTCTTCCAAGTTGCTCGAAATGGATGTTACAACGTAGCATCCATAGCGTGCTGCTAGTTGATTGAAATGGCTGTTGGAACGTAGCATCCAAAGTGTCTTCAAGTTGCTCGAAATGGGTGTTACAACGTAGCGTCCATAGCGTGCTGGAAGTTGATTGAAATGGCTGTTGGAACGTAGCATCCAAAGCATCTTCGAAGTTGCTCGAAATGGATGTTACAACGTAGCAATGGTACACCATAGCATCCATAGTGTCCTGGAAGTTGATTGAAATGGCTGCTGGAACGTCGCATAGCACATGAATATGACTCTCTAGGGTGGAAAAAATCCTTTCGAGGCTCTGAAACTATTGCGCCTGCCACGCAAAAGCAGGGGTCACATTCTCCCCTGAACGAGGGTCACATTCGCCCCTGAACCCACTTCATCGCACTTCATTCAGGGGCAAGTGCGACCCAACATGGTTCAGGGGCAAATGCGACCCCCGTGCCTGTTGACCACATGGGAATTTCCACTGGTGGTCCCATGTGGTACCCCCAAATCATCCAAAAATCTATATATCATCTATTCTATTCTTTTCTTTTCGTACATTGACACCAAAAAGATTCAGTGGATTCACTGATGATTGGTACATCTTCACCACTATACCTAAGGTTTAGGACTGTCTTGGCCTGTTTTGGGGCCTTTTTTTGGGCCGGCACAGATCTCCCAGATCTCTCAGCCCCATGCGCCTTCCGCTGCTCCGGCGAGACCCGGAAGGCGTCGCCCACCCAGCCGCCCCACATGGCGGCGATCTCCCGCGGCGCCGCTTCGCGGCCGAAGGAGCCACCCAGCGCCACCACAATGTCCTGACGGCCCAACGAGATATTGGTTGTTGTAGAAGTGTATATGGTTGTTATGTGGTTATTATATGTTATTATGTGCTTACTATATGGTTCTAATATGGTTAATTATGATATATGCATGGTTACAATGGTGATATAATTGGAGATACAAAATGGCTGATGCTGATTGGTTCAGGGAAGTGTCGTGAAGTTTCTCTCGAGTTGTCTAGCCACCCCGGACAAAATCAGAACATGCCACAGCAATCTTGATTACACGACAATCCTTAGTCCTGAGAAACGGACAGAATCCATTTTTCTGCCAAAGACGAGGTCACTTCACTTCTCAATTGAAAACGATGTCCATTCCCTGGTCCCCTGGTCCGGTGTCTTGGGCTGTCTGCGAGGGTCTGCTTTCTTCGCGCGCATGCGAACAATTGGCACTCTCTCACAAGGAGCAGTCCGAAAGGCCCACAAACGCCTATTATCATGAGACCAAAGTAGTCCGAAGCGTTGGAATACCTTGATGGGCGGTATGTCGTGAACTGATATCCGGCCACTCTGCAGCTCCTGCATAGTCTCTATATGTCTCTATGACACTCCTGCCGCAAGTGAAATATCGTGAGATTCGAGGCTGAGAATGCCGGATTGTCTCGGGATTTACTTCTTCTGGACCTGGATTCGCACCTTGAATGATCAGTGGCATTCTGTACAGGACAAGTTGCCGACGCCCTGCCCATGGACGCCCTGGACGCCCAGCAAGCGTGCCACCCCTGACCGATTTTCGGTAAAAGTCATCGCATCTGGTTGCTCCGATTCAATGCAGAACTGAATCCTGGCAGAACACCTGGAGAAGATGAAACCAGTCGGTTGAAAAGGCTGGTTGCATCCCGGGCACTTAACATTGGATCTGCATGGTCTGCAAATATCTTCATTATTCTTCATTAACATAATGGGTGCCATATCCCACATTGCACCATGTCTGCCCGATGTCCCACCTGGTTGGTCTGGAAGGACAGTCAGGAGCTATGTGAATATGCCACTCCATGCCGCCATGCCATCATCGAGGTTGAGCCAAGGATACCATGGACCGGTGTCATGGCTGAAGCCGCAGGTAGCTTGGCCAAACGATTGCTTTGCTGTCGTGAGAGGCCCAATATGTTGCAGGCCACCTACTTCATGTGATGATCCACTGATATCCACTGTGATTCTCAGGGTCAAAATGTTAAACGGTGTTTGATCCAGCAATTGCTACCTGCATGCGTCCAAGTGCACAAAGCCACAATAGATTGACAGAAAATGCCAGAACATGATCAAACAACATGAGTTGCTTCAAGGGAGAAAAAAGGCAGGCAACTTGAACAAAATCTTAAGCATCATAATCATGTCTGTTTGCTGCTCTTGTAAGGTGCAAGATATATCATTCTCACAACATTTTACCCAAATGGCTAAATTTCAGGCGGGCAAATCCCTACACAATTTGGGTTGAAACTGGAAACGAAGACTAAAGGCTCCATGATTTGAGAATATGAGGCAAGTGAAGCAAGATCAGCTCATTGTGTGATTGCCTCATGGTTTCGTTGTGATATGTTATGATATTATGATGTTCAAAAAAACGACAGTGTTTTTTGATGGATTTGACCGCTTGATTAGAGTTTGGAACGATCAAGAAAGTAGCGGAATGCCAAACTGAGAGGTTTCTATTGGTGTCCGGTGGATGTCTTTGCCCGTTTTTATGACATCACAATGTGTGGCTTGTGTCCAAAAACTTTCAAAACAAAGTGCTGGTGAATGAAATTCTGCTTGATGTTTTGAACCTACCCTCTGGTAATTTAACATAGCTATTGATAATGACCATTTATAGTGGATTTACCCATTGAAAATGGTGATTTTCCATAGCTATGTTAAATTACTAGAGGGTATCCTAAGAAGACCAGCCCGTTGGTATCAGAAAAGTTTGACACCACATGGCCACAGGCGATTAGCGATTCCTGCACCATGGCATTCATCACAGTGGCCACAGGTGGCATTCGAGCACCTGCCATCGGATGGCTGTGGATTAAACCGGTGCTCTGCAGCTTAGAATAGCTGGGATATGTTGGATGTCCTCTCCAGAGATGCTTTTCGGCATCTAACATATTCTAACATCATCACTATCACCTTAAATGCTATAGCATGCTATAGCTGCCATTGATTCATTGACAATTGACCCATCCCCAATCGATGCCCCAATCGATGCTCCGGGGTTCCGGCCTTTGAGGCTCTCTTCCACGGTGACCAAATAGATGTGTCGTCCGCGGAGCCAGAACCAAGCTGCTGAGCCAATCCTCGGCATCGAAGATGCCATGGGCAACGTCAAAAAAGGGGCGGCCATCCACATGGAGGATATACCCTCTGGTTATGACTAACATAGCCATGGTTTGTTGATGGCCCATAGAAATAGATGGTTTACCTATTAATAGCATGGTGATTTTCCATGGTTATGTTAGTCATAACCAGATGGTATATATGGAGTGACACTGAGTGATACATATTTCCTCAAACGTCACTTCCAGACATTTAAGTCAAACTGTTGACTCCAATGAAGATCATGTATTAGGAGCCCTTAGGTTAGGTCAAGTGATGAATCAATGTGAATCATATGCGTCTGGGTAAATTATCATATTTCACTATAGCCTGAATGAAATAAGGGATGAGTATTCCCCTTACTAACTAACCGTTATATAATATATATATATATTTTTTTTTTTCAATGAAGTCGCAGTGATTCGTCTGTGCCCAGCGTCAATCCACCTCCGATGACGCAGGCCATCCGTCTCCAAGGGTTTGATTCCAGAGCAATCTCCAGAAAACCGCCGTGGTCATGACCAAACCTGCCAGGCTGTACCGGGGGATGATCCCAGTCGTCACCTGGAAATAGTAAAGCATCTGATAACTGGTTGGTGGTTTTAACATGTTTTAACCATATTGAAAAAGATGATGGAAAGGATTATCCCACATATTATGGAAAATAAAATTCATGTTCCAAACCACCAACCAGTAAACCATGATGAAGCCACAAACTGGGCTCTGGGGTTCTTAAAAAAGAAGTGGCTCTGTGAGCTCTCAAGTGGACTTCCAAGGTCGCGAAAAAAACTAATCTCGCCAAATTGCATGAAGTCAATGCGATGCAAGAGCATAAATCGTGATTAATTTTGCATCCCCAGCAGCCCCAGCAAAAAAAAACTGCGTAACCAACTACTGGTACTTCGTACATAGCTGTTATATTCCCCCTTTCTGCTCAGAAATGCTACCTACCCAAGGTATCCCAAGATTATCCAAGTTTTATACACCCAGAACTTTTGGAACCTATGTATTACTTGAAAGCCCAACTGCTTTTTTGAGCAGCACCGCACTGCTGTGCTGTTTGGATCTGTTTGGGCCGCCGCACCCTACGATTTGCACTGTTCGAATAAGATGCGCAATGAAGACACCAACCAGGCCGGAACCAACCTCAGCCGATAACAAGGACTTGATGCACCTGTCGACATGCCATTCCTCGCTGTTAAGCACAGTTGACAGGTTTAGAAATGTGAAGTTCTTCATGTGGGACAATTATGGACAATTGCATCCTCGCTCAGTTAAAGCAAATAGTCAAAACATGTGGTTCGCCCTAGATGAATGATGATTGATAAATGGTTAAATTACGTAGGTTAATTAAGGATATTGCACCATCAAATTGGGAGTTGGAGCTGAGTATCTTCTTCTAAAGCCGTTGAAAAATTCAAAATGAAAGCAACCGCTCGAGCAACCTAGACATTAGGGGAGGCTGTTTCCAGGAACTGGCATGAGTCAGCATGCAAGGAGGCGAAGGGGGAAGCCGGGGAAGCCAAAATATCCTTGACTTGGCTATATCTTTGTTTGTAATTATTTGTATAGATCCAATGATCCAAGCCAGGACTCTGCTCGAAATGGAAGCAACCCTCCAAGCTTTGGCGTCATGTTCGAAGCTTTGGGGACACCCAACTTACTGTATTTCATATTTTATATAATTTTTATATGCTGTCAAGTGCATGAATGTATTATAATGTACTGTAAAATCTAAGATGATCACCGTCGTCGTCAGCAGCATCTTGAACGTCGACCCCCAACCCCTCTGCTGGCCAAAAGGCTCCGTGCAGCATGGTGGCCAGGAACATACAGCCGAAGGAACATGCGCGGTCCCCAACGGGGAACTTGCCTGTCTCCTGGGGGTCGGGTGGGGTCAACGTTATAACCACTGAGGGAAGCCCAAGGTTCCACGAAAATCACGGACGAAATGTATTGAAATGTGAGATTCCCAGGTTGGGATGGATTAGGTATTCCCAGCATCACAATGGAAAACCATGAAAACCATGGTAAGTTCTTCAAGATCCTGGCCTGGCCAAAATGCCGATGGTAAACAGGATTAGTCATCCAGCAATCTACAATCCTACTGTGGATGGTTGGGAAATCCTGCACCGATAGATGGTTTATCCCATTATTTATAGCAATCATCCGTTTGGTGGTGCAGGATTTCCCAACCATCCACAGGAGTGTAGTGAAAATGGATCAACATTATCAAAAGACCACAAAATCAGCTTGCCGGGAGCCTGGGAACAATTTCCCATGTCCATGGGGTCTCCAATTGTTTGGGTCACTAGATCTTGATGTAGAATTATTTCCCAGGCCGAGCTTTCTACCAATCCACGCTTGTTTATGTTCAATACCAAAGCCCTGTGGGCAACCTGGATCCTGTTGGTGATATCAAGCTGTTTGGAGGAGATGCCAGGGTAATTATGCACCCGTCTTGCCTCATCGTCTGGTCCAATTATCCTCATGGCGTCTGGTGCGCTCACATCAACACTGCCGTGAGGGCTCTCCCCACAGGTGCCTTCACTCTCGAACAAGTTCGAGTTGCTTAATCTGTGTGACTGAGATCAAATAAGACGTCAGGAGCAACACTAAGTATGATGTGCAGTGAGTTGTCTTCTGCAGTCTTAATAACTGAAAAGAAGAACTCATGGCATGTTTCTCCTGAAAATGTTGATCATCCTATCTGCTGGCTGCACTCTGCGTTGCACCAATCTGTCTTCGGATTCATGTTCACGCGTGTCTGTCCAGGATCTTGTGCCATCACCCTGCACTTGGGCAGCAACGCTGCCACCATAGCAGTTCCCCCGAAAATCCTTGGCCTTAAGCCTAAAAGGGTTGTTGCGAAGGTTTGCGCGCTGTGGATTCACCATGCTACTGGTGGGGAGATTGGTAGCCTCTGGTTATGATCAACATAGCCATGGTTTGTTGATGGCCCTAATCGAAATAGATGGTTTACCGAACTTAATAGCATGGTGGATCTTTCCATGGCTATGTGAGTCATAACCAGATTGGTAGGAAACCAGGATCTATACCCCTTGTAGCATCAAAACACCAGGTGCTCCATGATTTTCCCAACCACATTCTGGGATGAACTGCAACTGGATATGGCTTGGTGGAACCACTCGTCCCCAGGACTGGCACCAAACACAAAGGACACCGACTGAAAGACGCTGACACCCACGAGACCATGAGCTCCCAACTTCAGTTGGCTCGAAATTTGGAACCGACTTTTCCATCCCATGATTTGTCACTATCCGATGATATAATCCCCTTTGCATGTTCACTGAAAATATCTCCAAGTTTTCCATCAAGTTTCTTCCCTGTCTCTTCGCAAAAAAAAAAATGGCGGCTTCGATCGAGATAGAAATTATCGATGTTGGAGGATGATCCTCCAACTTGACATGGACAGTCTGTGGACAGTCATAGACATGGCCTGAAGTTCGCTAATCTCCACCTCCTTAGGGACAAATGAGGAGATATGAAATGGAAACAAAGCAATGGGGGAATTCATGAGGTAAACAAACAAAAAGATGGGAAAACCCATGGCTTATGAAGAGAATTATCTTCAAATGCTACATTTTCACATCTGAGTAATTACACATGTTAGTTTATGTACCCTGGGATAATTGTATGAGTCAATCAGCAAAAATATGAACCCATGTACCATCAAACATTAGTGTAACAGGGGATAAATGAGGATTTCATCGGAATAGGTGGCAATCATCAGAAACAAAAGATATAGCAATTCAACACGGCAATGGAAAATTCTGATGATTTTTACTACCCTCTGGTAAACTAACATAGCAATGGAAAATCACCATTTTTTATTGGAAAATCCACTATAAATCACCATTTTCAATAGCTATGTTAGTTTACCAGAGGGTATCGCCCATGTTGATGATCCATATTGCCATGTTTACCTATATGGGTACAAGCCTGGGCATGGTATTGTTCAATATTGGGACAAAATCAGAGTTAGTACCTGTGAAAATCGGATGCTCTAGTGACTCTAGTATGAACAATGACCAGATATGACCAGCGCATAGTGCAGCCTTATTCAAAGCATTTCTATGCATGTATAAACAATATCCCGCAGAAAGATCGAAGAAATCACTCAATGAATCTCACATGATACGAGTATCATATTATATGAATTCATATGATATCAACATGTTCATCCATTCTCTTAGCTAAGTTGGTTAGTGCACTAGGTCAACTGTTCGGGCGGCAGAACATTAGCCAATCATAAACAAACATCACTGGGTGGCACTTCCTTGATCTACCTTGCCCCAGTTTTGATCACTGAGATCTGAACGTAAGTTCCTCTACCCATGGCCCTCATCAGGGGCTCTGCTGCACGTCGCTTCACCTATGGCGAATTGTGGCGATCCAACATGGGGTACCCGGATCGCCAGAGCCAGAAATGGCTGGTCCTTGCCATTGCCAGATTCGACCCCTTCGAAGCTATCTTTTGGGACAATTTGCTCTATGGCATATTTTACTACATTTCAATTCAATACATTTCAGTAGGTCATTGTTGGGGTTATTTTGCGCGTAACCAGTACAGCATGGGCTTTGATACTCACCGTGGGGGACATTGATTGAATACATTTGAATACATATTCTTGAGCCATACCAAGATACCATCCTGCCCAGCTTATCTGACCTGGATCTTTTGGCTGTGACCGTGACCCTTTTTTGAGCCTTCTCGACTGTAGGACCCTCCATGTTCCAAAGCAAATAGAGAACCTGCATCGGCCAGCAGCCACTGCTGCACTGCTTCAAGGGATTGTCAAAGGTTGTCACCCAACTGAGATGAATCATCAGGAAATCCACTCACTAGTCACTAGTCATGATTAACGTAACAAGCATCATAATTCCTTCATTGATAAATAACCATTATATAATTAAAAACGCAAATACAACTAATTCAATATACAATATGCATGTGTAAAGTGTAATATGTATAATTGTAATTAATTACAGGGGATTACAGGGGTCCCTAAAAAAGATAGAACGTGTTTCCAGGATGTTCTCGAACGGATGTTTTCCCCATCCATCGGTGCCCAGGTGGCCCGGCACTGTTGACCACCACGAACAACAGCAGCAGTCGGACGAGAAGTGCGAAGCTCTGGTCACCCTGGGCCTGTTTTTTGCCCAAGCCGCAACGGGCCATGGCTTTCATGGGGGTATCCCTATAATTCATGGTAAACCAACTTGGCTATCTATGGGATATCGCATAGTGTCACCATAATTCATGGGGTGTTGTAAAACCAACTTACTAGTATCTACCTAGGGGTCTCACCCTGTCTAGACAAAATTGGATGGTTTTCGGTATGTTCTTCAGCTGGAGTCGGAGTTATCTTTCCAGCTTGGCAAGTCACTTCAAAAACACATAGCTGTACTCATCTTCCAAAACAAGATTATGCTAGCTCCGTGATGCTTCCTAATCATCTGAGACTCTCCAAATGTGTTTGTGAGTTTGTGCTTGAAAAATCGAACATGGATAAATATGGTCTAAACATCCAAGCAAATCCATGGTTCATCATTTTGGCTGGCCATCACTTGTCCGCTCCAGTTTGGCCGGGATCATCATCACATGGCAGTGACTGGCAGCCATGAAAAAATACAACGTCCATCCCACGAAACTGCTGGCTGAGCACATATTCCTATTGTGTTTCTGATATTTCAATCATTCCCAATGAGAATTAACACAATATTATTAGCACATATTCCTATATTGTTATACTATCTGATATATTCCTATTGTGTTTCTGTTATTTCGGTGATAGTAACAGATAGTATAACCACCCCATTTCATCACCGATAAATTTCAATAAATATATGAATAAATCAAACATTATAACCGGATTATAACCCCCCAGAAGTTTCCCGTCACCAATCAAAAAACGAGAATTTCTGGGTCGCCACGACTCCCGTAGAGGTCAACAGACTCACCTGAGGATTTTGCTCGCCAACATGGGGGACGTTTTCCCAGATTTCATCAAGATCAACTAAGAAAAAAACATGAAAAATAGAAAAAATGTATATAAACCAGCCAAAGAATTGGGATTGAACATGATTTCACAAAACAAACAACCAGTTCAATTTCACCTGGAAAAAAAAAATGGGATTTCACTTCACCAAAAACGGGATTGATTTACAGCCTACATTGCTCAAATTAAAAAGGGAGTCAACATATGTCAACACGTGATGTCCAGAATGTGGGGTATTCAGAATGCCTCCAAATTAAATATCGACATCCGTTTGACCAACTAATCAGCAATTTTATCAATGGCCCTTTCAGGAAGCGATTTATTGGAGGTAACCACCATATATATATATATATATATCATAAATGAGGCCTATATAAGGCCTAAATTTCGGGGAATATCCCAACAAAATATGGCCTGAAAAATGCTACAGTTCTTCCATTTTAGGATCCTGAATTTCTTGACATATTATAAAAACATATTATAAAAACCATACCCATAGGATCCATGGTGCTGCTATATATGGTAACATGGATCCCCTCAATATACCCCCAATGTTAGCATATATACCAGCACCATGGATCCGTCATGGGATATCTAAACCACTATTAATCCCAGTTATCCACCATATTATATTATTAATGTAAACCACTATGGACTAGTCATAACCAATATTCAAGAACCACCATATGATATAAACCACTATGAATTTCCCATTGATCTTAGAGGAAAGTCGTCCAGGCCCGGGCTTCCCGGGGTTCCCCCCGTCCGAATGGGCCTCGGTCTTCGGACTACCTGGAGATTTACCACGAAAAACACATGGTTTTTCCACAAGAACCCACATATGTATACATAATATGTAATAATAGTTAATAGCTATAGAATGCTATATATATATGCTTACTAATGTAAATATATATTTGAAAATATGGTACCCCCAAATCCCAGGTTTTCTCGCAATGTTCCCACTAAAATTGCCATGTTGGCAGGTGATGTGCTAAACTTTGGGACTTGTCATTTGGGTCTACATTTTTTTGGGGAGATGGTATATCTGGTTGGTGGTTTCAATCCCTCCGAAAGATATTAGTCAATGGGAAGGATTATCCCATATGATGGAAAAGAAAATTCATGTTCCAAACCACCAACCAGATATATCCTTGGGTTTCCAGAATCCATCGTAATCCATCTAAATTATAATATTTCACTAACCTGAATCTTGCGGCCATTTGGGGATCATTTCCCTTACTAACCATGATTTCCAGGGTTCGGTCGCAGTGAGGTCGTGATGAAATTTACATAAATTTACCCATATTTACCCAGATATTTATGTAGCCACTAGTGACTTCCCAGTTCATCTGAGCGGCTGATCTCATAAGACCATAGGGGTTCCCTCCATTTGAGCCATTAAAAATACCCCTACCCCATCTCATTATACTAGTTGGTTGATAGGTTTCCCTACTATGGGTTATCATGATCCCCAGTAAACCAGCTAGTATAATCCACATTAATCCACAACCAGCAATCAATTCACCAGGCTACTTTTAATAGCTCCCATGGCTCCATGATCTCCATGGAGACAGCCCCCATCCTGGGCATCCGGGGCATCCTAAGCCCGGTGCGTTGCAACTGCTGCCGCAGCCGCTGGTTCTCCGTGCTGAGTCGAGCCTCTAGAGATCTCACCTGTGCCTCGCGGAGCAGCGCGGCATCGCACGTCATGCTTCGATTTAGTGGACATCGTTTGTTTTTTTCTTGGGCTATGTTGGGGTATACCATGGGTATACCCCAGGAATTAAGTACATTAGTAGATATAAGATTATATATAAGTATATTTTTATATGGAATTTATGTAATTATCATATGATTGGACAAACTGACAAACCCAGCTTGGTGGTTGAGCCAATCCCCTGATTGGCAAATGTTTCTGTAGTCAGTGGGGATCATTCCAAAAAAAATGCTTGAAAGTTGAAAATAGAAATTCGTTGAAACCGGCTAGTTTTCACAATTCACGCATGCCGCCACATAGCCAAATATCTTTCCAAGAGGGCAGGTTTGGAATGTGAAACATTGTCAAACTTATTGCACTGTATGGGTGGATAGAACTGTCAGGTCGGAATCTTTTTGCCCAGGTATGTCTATGTCTTTTGTGTGGCGAATTGTGGCCATTGTTTGGGGATGATAGGGGAATGATGGACGCCTACCACCAACAACTTCAGGCTTGATCTGTCGGAAGATGGGAAATCTGCGGAACCAACCAGTGTCTGAGAATTGTGCATACCCCCAAATAGCCATTTACATCTGGTTATTTAACATAGCCATGGAAAATCACCATTTTTAATAGGTAAACCATCTATAAATGGGCCATCTATACCATGGCTATGCTAAATAACCAGAGGGTACATAACATAGTGATAATGATGATTAACCAGAGGATTTAGAGATATTTAGAGATATTTAGAGGTACCATATGTTCAGACAAACCCATATGTTTACATCCTTTGTGATCAATGTCCAACAACTAAACCCAAAAAAATAGCTGGGGGCCCTGCGATGTTGCTCTCCGTTCCAGCCTGAAGGCGCTGGAAAGAGATTTATACAGATAAAAATGTAAGAATAAAATTGATCTTTAAATTTGTGTGGTACCATATGTATGTATGTATAAATATTAAATCATATGTTATATCATATGTTATATCATATACAGTATTGGTATCATATCAAATATCATATATATCATATGTCTTATACCATATATCATATATAATATATCATATCATATATATATATATATAATCATGTACATATATATATTATCATATGTTATATCATATATATATACATATTATACACTATATATATGTACATTTGTATCATAATATATTGTCATATTATATATACATATATAATATATATTCATACAGTACATATAAAGGTTTTCTGAACCCCCTTCTCTCGGTACCCCCCCAAAAAATATAACATCCATGGCTTTTTTTAATGAATTTCTTTGCATATATTTTGCACCAAAACCATCCCCAAAACCCCCGCAACGACACCCAGAGTCTGCCAGGGCCCTCGCGTTAACAGCACCTGGGTTGGTTGGTAGGAAGCCAGAGCTGGACAGTTGACAAAACATATTATAATATAATATTATAATGTTCTATATCTTTCATAATATTATGCCAAAAAATGAGAAAAAATGAACATGGTTGAACAAGACCTGTATTCACAAAGCTATAATTAGCTTATGTGTTTTTTTTGGGTTCTGAATCAAGGTGTCAAAAATCAAAACGCCGGAGCCGAATGGAGCGGAACCCTTCAGTGTTCCCACGCGGCACCTGGATTCGATGGTGACTTCAGAGGTTTCACCTGCTCGGACGAGATCGATCCATACTGATCGTATGGCAACAGCCATTTCCCTTCAGTGAATGCAACAGCGAATTTAGAGGTCACCAATGGCTAAAAAATCAGAGACAAACAGAGTCAACAGAGTCACGGCAGACTGCTTTTTTGTGATGACCGTCTTGTGGTGACTGCGAAACCACACTGACACCCGGCCTCGCAGATTGGGATTTTCCTAGATGAATCCCCAAAGTTTTGGATGAAGCCCCATATTTGATAGGAAAATCTATGGGTTCCTCTAATTTTTCCCTTAAACCAATCCAATCAATGCATGACACATGGGATTTCATGGGCTTTTTCATGGGATTTCATGGGATCTCATGGGATCCCATTCAAGATGAAAGGTCGATGAAAGGTGTCTGGCGCTTGTCTGGCAAGCGGCGCCTCTTTCAAACCGCTCCCGTGCTCATGAAGCTCGGCAGATTCCTGCTCATCAAATCTCAAGAGACCCATGAATTTCGTGGGTGCATCAAGTCCTATCATTGGAGAATTGGAGAATGGCGCGCTCCAAATACCGATATTTATCTGCTTTCAATGGTTGACCTACCCCTCTGAAAAATATGAGTTCGTCAGTTAGGATTATTATTCCCAATATATTTATGATTCATGCAGGGCTCTGAGTAGTGTGAGGGGGGCCCCTACGGGGCCCCTCCCCCCCAAACTAATTTGGTATACTGAATAACTCGCAGTTTTTTGCGCGCCCCCCTCAACAATTTTTAGGATAGTCAACTTAAGTAAGGATTTCAATTGAAATCAATTTACTTTCAATTCATTTGAATCTACGTTCAATTGATGTTCCTTTGAAACATCAAAAACATCTCTTGCTAAGAAAGGATTTCAATTGACATCAGTTTACTTTTAATTCATTTGAATCTGCGGGAATTAACTACATTCAAATATACGGGCTTTTAAATATACGAACATGTATTTTAGACTACCTCCGGGAAGGTTTTCCTTGGCCCGCCCGGCCATTTAAACCTATGGAATGCAATTCATTTAAACATACGGTAACTACATATAAATATACGAACTGGATCGAACTGGTATTTCATACTACCTCCGCGGCCTCGCGGTCTGGCCCGCCCTCCACATACCATTTATATAAATGTCGTTACCGTACGTTCAATTGATTGTCCTTTTAAACTTCAAAGAAATCTATTGATAAGAAAGGGATTTCAATTAAAATCAAATTAAATTACTTTCAATTCATTTGAATCTACTTTCAATTGATTTTCCTTTTAAACCTCAAAGAAATCTATTGATAAGAACGGATTTCAATTGAAATCAATTTACTTTTAATTCAAATTGAATCTACTTTCAAGTGATTTTCCTTTTAAACTTCCAAGAAATCTATTGACAAGAAAGGATTTCAATTGAAACCAATTTACTTTCAATTCATTTGAATCTACTTTCAATTGATTTTCCTTTCAAATCCCATAAACACGCCCAAAAAGTTGTTGTGCACAATAGAGTACCATCCAAACAATTATATATATTATTTAGTATCTGGGCCATTCATGGGGTACCCCCTTGAAAAATTGGTTGGGTGCTGTTTTTTAATAAGGATTTAATAAGGCATCTAATTTTTTGGGAATCCTTGCATTTTCAAAGCTTTAACATGGATATAGTTTTCTAAAGTAAATGGACCAGCTTTACCCAAAGAAAGGTGGATAAAAGGTTTGGTGTTTTTTCTTCACCCAGAAAGTTGTTGTGCACAATAGAGTACCATCCAAACAATTATATTATTTAGTATCTGGGCCATTCATGGGGTACCCCCTTGGAAAATTGTCTGGGTGCTGTTTTTTTAATAAGGATTTAATAAGGAATCTAATTTTGGAAAACCTTTCATTTCAAGGCTTTGACATGGATATGGTTTTTTAAAGTAAAGGGACCAGCTTTACCCCAAAAAACATTGGATCTGAGGGAAAAAAAACTCACACTAGAGGCCCACCCCCCACAAACACCAAGATACTCAATTAGGAAGCAACAATTTTCTCACAATAGGGTATCATGACACTAATCGAAGGCTAACATTATTATTGATTATTTATGTGCATACTTGTAGCTACAAGACCCAAGAATCAAGGCCAACAGGTCAAGTGGCCAACTTCCAAATCCCCCCATGCTGGCCTTTTTCAGTTTCACCAAGCTCGCCTGCGGGGGCATGGGAATCTGTGGATATCATCCTACCATGGCTAGTCCTAGATGCAAAACAGACTTTGTTTAGCTGCTTTGCATAAATCACCCATTTATGGCACGAGTTTGACGTATTCAAATCTGATTGGTAGTTTTAACCATCTTTGAAAAATATTGGTAGTTTTAACCATCTTAATAATCTGAAGGATTATCCCATATATTATGGACAATAAAAAATGTTTGAAACCACCATGTTTTCGGCCATGTTTTCGGATCTGCTACCTGCTCGGGGTTAAGAGCGAGGTATGGTCACCAGTGTGAAATCTCCTAGTCAACTTGCAGACGCGGATGTCGCGCAGCAAGAGGTAAACTGCACAGCGCACTTGCGTCTCGAACACAAGGCATCGCCAGTTTAGTTTCCATCCATCGCTCCACTTCAGCCAAAGAGTACTGGTCCCACGGCAGAGAAATTGCTGGAATAAAAGCTTGGACAACCCCCGATTGGGGTCTACATTGCGCCCATGCGGCAGTAGTGCCAGCTTCTTTGAGCATCCATTTGATCATCTGCCTGAACCATTTTGTACGCTGCTTAAAACTGAAAGCATCTGGCTCGATGTATGGTCTTTGGTCTGTGTTGACCCATTCATTGCGAACTCGCAGTGGTCCAGGGTGCCCTGTGGCCAATTGAAAGTCCACATACAACTGGGCAAAAGAAATCCAAATGGGTTGCACCGTGGAATCTTGCACCAGTCTTGCGAAGAACCACCGGATCACCTTCTGACATAATGAGGACCCGTAGAGCCTGGCAAGCTTTGGCAGCAGGGTACCGGTCCATCCCCCCAAAACAAAGTGAACCTCAAAGGCACGTGTTTCCTTTGGCTGAACAGTTGCGCTGGGGCCTTCTTCATCATGAGGTCGACAAAGAAATCTTCGTCCCACGGCAACATGGAGTTGGAACACCTGTTGAAAAATTCGTTCCGCTGCATCTGTGGCACGAACATGGGTTTCCCAAAATGCCCAAAATTCCGGTGGACGTGCTTGGTTTGCAAGGCGCGCTGCCCGGTCAGCATAGTCGTTATGGAAAAATTGCCACACCTCAAACTTAGAGGTCGCACTATGCAGAGTGCGATGAGCAGCAACTTTGCACATGCAAATGTTGTCACGACCCAGTGTCTCCACCGATTGCAAAACCCACCTCCACAAATCTGCATTACTGCGATTCGCCTTGAGGCGCACATTGCCCCAAACCAGCAGCTGAAACTTTGTAAGCACACCTAAGCAGTCGATCCATAAACGGACAGGAGCACGAAGTTGCGCTGCCCAGTGCAGGATGTAGGCCACTGCAAAAAGTTCCGCTCTGAATGCAGTTTGACATACCCCAGACAGATAGGACGCACACAAAACCTGAGCACCACCGGGAGTCCACCTGTCAGAGAAAGACGGGGCACGCGTAACAGACCAAGCAGCACAACGAGTCAACGGACATGACGAAGCCAAGCACGATCCATCAGTGAAAATTTGATTCCAACCATCGCGGGACAGAACACCACTCAAAGGAGGCAAGTCCGAAGGCAGGGATGCAAGCAAGGTCATCCAGGCAGGCCAAGTGGGAGGCAAGACAGCCCAACCGCGAAGTGAGAGTGCAGGTGGGAGAAGATCCAAAATGCCAGCAATATCGGGTGCAAGCTGGGTCCGCAGGTCATGATGTTGCGGACACTGCCAATACCGATGCTTCAGCGTGTCAACTTCACCGCACCAAGGACATGCATCAGTTTGAGTGGTCCATTTGGATTTGTACCGCTCCGTGAAAAGTCCACCGGAAAGTCCAAAACGGTACATCCCCTGTAAATCCAATCCAAGGGATTTGAAGGCTTTTCGGGTGGCCGCAAGGTTGGCCTGTTCAATGCCAGCAAAGTCGGCTCTGTGTGCAACCTTGTGAGCGACAACGTGAGGCCAAGCAAATGTCAGTCTCAAATCAACCTCAGCAGGATTGGTAGTGATAGGGCAAAAGGAGCCAAAACTGTCAACTAACATCCCCTGTCGGTCAACATGGAACCCAACGGACTGCACTCGATCCAAGGCAATGGAAGCAAGGGAGTTGGGAGGCAAGTCAAAATCCCCATGGGCCAGTGGTGAGATGACCGTGGACCAGAAATCAGCAGGACTTTGGGTACGCAAGGATCGGCAAGTCCACAGCACAGCAAGCAATTCAGGGTCCACCAATGGCTCAACCAAACCAAGCAAAATTGATGGGTTGACTCCGGGTCGTTGAAAACCAATGGCTTTAACAGCACTTCTTCTCAGGGAAACCCAGTGCTGATCACCTACTGGGGCACTAGCCACTGCATGAAGTCCACGTGGCCACGCAACAGCCCTGAGCATGTAGACTTTGGCATGGTATTGGGTCTTGCTCAAGCGTAGCTTTTCCCAAAAATCATCAAGGTCTTTCATGCGCTGAGTCAGGGTGCGGTTGGTGTACTGTCTGGAAATGCCAAAATGGCCACCAAGTTCACGGGCATGGTGCAAGACCTGAATGCCGCTGGAGCGCAAATTGCGACGGGTGTCAGGGCAAGTGGACCAACCGAAGGTCTTTTTGCGATCAACTGTCAAGTCCAACATGGATGCATACTGCTCGATCAAATCCAATTGTTTGACTGCAAGGTCAGGGTTGACCGAGAAGGTTTGCCAGTCATCCACATATGTCAAACACCTAATTGCCGGCAATTGAAACTTCAACCAAAGAGCAAACAGGTGGTCCACAAGGAGCATACCAAAAACTGACAGCCCACACCCCTCTGCCAAGCCTGTGGATGTAAGAAATCCATCTGAGTATGAGTCTCGAACCTTGAAATGTCTCCGCATCAGGCTCAGAGCCCCAGCCCAGGCAGTGGTCACTTCATTGGGGGTCCCAACCAACACAGCCAAGCACAAAGCAGGAAATCGGGGAATGCAGTTGAAGCATTTCTCCAAGTCAGCTGAAATGCCTGAAATGGGTTCGGTGGTGGCATATGCATTTTCGATTTGCTGCAGCATATAGGCCCACAAGTCAGAAGCCTGACGACCACGACGATTCCCATAAACACTGTCATCAACCCATGATTCAGCAAAGGTGAGCAGATGTCGGGATTGGATGCTGCTCCATGCCCTGTATGGTAAACCAAAAATTGTTATGGGTCTGTATTGGCTGGCAAGGGTTGCCCCTTCAAGTTTGGCCAGGGAGTGAACTTTGCCGGCAAGCAATTGGATGGGCCAAGCGCCATCACATTCGGCACGGGCAAAGAGATTAGCCAAACTCTGCAGCGTCATCTTATCTGCTTGGATGAGGTCTTGGCGGCTGACTCCATCGAGTCCAGTTGCGGCTCGTTTCTTTTTCCTGAAACTTTCATCTCTCAGCATGTCTCCATCCACAATCAGATGGCTCACAGGTGTCGGGTTAACAACCCTTTTGGCAAAAGCGATCAGCTCAGCCCAGTGAGTGAATGGGGTATTGTCATGTCGGCACCAACGGCGTTGCCACTGCTCATGGAAGGCTTCAAAAATGGTACGGAGGTCGCCAACTGGCTGGGTCTGCACTGCAATAGTCTCAGGTTGCACCTGACTCACATCATGGAGCCATACCTTGTCTGCCTCAGCATGGATAATTTCATGGGACTGGCCGGAAATCCAGAGAGGCAAGTCTTCAGCCAAGGTCACAGATCTATCCAATTCGATGGCACACTGATCAACATCAACATGAACTATGGTGGCATCAGCCCGATGGACCAAGGTCTCCACAGGAGCAGGTGGTGTTCTGGCCACATCACGGAACACCAAATTTTTGTCATGTTCATGCTGGGCACGGCGATAGGTGGCTTTGGCTTGGATAAGCCGCTGCTCAAGCAATCGAACTTCAGCAAGCACAGCATCATAAATCTGATGCGCAACTGCAGAGTTGGGGCAAAATTGAGGGATGCAATCAGGGTCAAGAGGGCAAACGTACTGGCGCTGGGGCCACCAGTAGAAAAAGTGGGGGCAAAACCAGGGGCATTCAGAATGGCACGCCACAAAGCAACACCATGAAGCATATCTTGGGCAGCATGAACTGTCCGGTTGTCAATCCATCGGCAGTAATTTTGGAGCCTACGTGCTTGCTTGAACTGTTTGGCATGCAAGGCTGAGAATCCAAAGAATGCAGGTTGAACATCGGAGTGTCTACCTTGCTTGATTGGGGCAAGGCGGCCGACACTTCTCTTGGGTTTGAGTTGCTGTCCCCTTCCCTTCATTTGGGGCATCCAAGCAGGACCAAGGCTCTGTTGAGCAAGGCTCTCTTTGGAAGACCACAGGAGGGCATATTGCTGGGTGGGGTCAGCTGGGGCATCAAAATCAACTGGAGAAACAAGGGCAGTCGTCTGTGTCCAGGGGATTGGTTTAGGGCAAGGCCAAGGGAATCGCTCCATGTGAGCGACCCCTCCCGCAAAGGAAGCGACCAAAACTGCATGATCAGCAAAAACAGTTTGGTCAATGACCAACGATTGGAAACCCATGGCAAGATCAGGTGACAGCCACAAGAAATCCTTACGTGTGGCCTGCTTGCAAGTCATTTGGATATCAGCCCCTGTTTTGGAACGGTAAAGGTCTTGAACTTCAATCCACCCCTCGGCTTGAAGCTTATGGGAGACCTCAAGGGCAGTGATGTCAAAATTCCAGTCTCCTGCAAGAAAGCGTGGACCAGGCTGCTGTAGCAAGCGATGTAAGGCAAAATCCAACAGGGCTTCAGTCCGGGTGAAGGCTTGGGCATGAGTTTTGCCTTCAGGATACCCGTAAACGACTGCACCTGAGACCCAAGAAGCAGGCGTACAGAATGACCCAAATTGCAACCTGCCAGTCTCATACAAGTCAGGGGGCCAATCAACAGCCAACGTGCGGCAAGGCAGTGAAGTGGTGAAGGCCACTCCAGACCAATGTCCAGCATCACTCGAAGTCGATCTCGGAGTCACTGGGGCTCCAGCAAGTACATGCTTGTACCTGGTTTTCATGGACCGAAAACTAAGCTCTAAGTTGCGGCGAGCTTGTTTGGAAAGGTGAGTCTCGCTGATGGCCAAGATGTCGGCATCTATGCTACTGAGAACATGGTGTTTCCCTTGCAGCCCGGAAGGGTTGCAAATCCCCATAGACCATGTGTCAGCTGCTGGGCCAGGCACTCGTGCTTCACCAACTCGACAAAGAGAAAACATCATCAAAAGTGCAAAAACTGCCCGAAAGGGGCGCCAAAGCCCCGGGGACACCCTGCAAGAGGGCAAATTGGCAGGGCCCTCACACCTTCACTCAGTTCTGGGTTTTTTGGCCAAAATGGCCTCCAGGCGTGTCATCTGGTCTGTCAGCATTGTCTGCATCTGCTGCGACTGCATGTCAAGTTGAACCTTCATCTGCTGTTGCAAGGTCTGAACTTGGGCTGTCTGCTGCTGGTGGTTGTCCTGCACGGTATGCTCAAGGACAGTCTGGCGAGATGCTAGCTGCTGCACCTGCTGCTCTAACGTCTGCAATCGAAGGTCTTGATCATCAACTTCCATCTTGTCCACCGTGGGAAGTTTCTCCAACAGTGTCTTTTCAAGTCTCTGTTCAATTTCTTGAAGCACATGAGGAGCAGGAGCTTGGGCAGGCAGTGCAGGAACCTGTTGAACTGCTTTCGACCAGGGGTCGTTGGCAAGCCATGGGTCTGGCATGGTGGCATCTCCTGGGCGGCACAACTCCACTGTTTTGACATGTCCTACCACTTGCGTTTCTTGGTCATTGGAGGTTCCTTTGTCATCTTGGCAAGTGATCACCACTTGGCCATGCTGCATAGGCAGTACATTGACCGGAGGCTCTGTAACAGCTTGGAGGGCCCACATAAGTCCACCTGGCACATGGTGTAAGGGCTGAAGTGGTCTGCAATCCCAACCGCTAGCTTTCAGTGCTCTGGCTATGCTCTTGCGATCACTGCCAAATGGCCATGGGCCGCTGTGAAAAGTAAGCCTTTCGCCAGGAGCAAGGTACACTGCATCGGGCTTGGTGCTTGTGAAAAGCCTTTGGAAATGGTTGACGTGAGTCCGCAGGCCAAATCTCTTGCCTGAACGAGCAACTCCCAGGCATTCAACTTCGCACTTGGCACGGTGTGCAACTGACTGGAAATCCATCTGAGGCAGCCAAACTACTTGGTAGTCACTGTGAGGTTTGAGGGCATCCTCAGTCTTGGGCTCAATGAACACACCATGTGTTCCGCTGGCACACAAAACCTGGGTTTCAAGGCTTTTGGCATACCGGATCATCACTGAGAAGTGGCTGGCTTGATCCCACTTCACAGGCCTCCCAGCATCGGTGAAGTATTGACGTCGGAACACATCCAACAGTGCATCATGTGGCTGTTCACTGGTCGGATGCCAGCCTGTGCATTGGCAGTCAGACTGAGACCTACAAGTATTCAAACAGGGCAACACACTGAGCACATGCTTGACAGGCCGATTGGAAAAGTCTTCCCAGCTACCCTCCCACATGTCTTTGTAGACGGCGATTCGGGCACAGGCAACTTCAACAGCCTGGATGGCTGGAATGTTTTTGGCTTTGTACTGATACACCGATGACTGGCCCAATTGAACCAAGATACCTGTCACCAGCATAGGCTCCTGGTTGACAGTGCACCGGGCAGCAAACCGGATGGACGACCAGACAAGTGACGTGGACACTTCAGCAGGCGGATGAAGGACCAACATTGCAAGACCATGGTTGGTGAGCAGCTTACCAGCTTGCAAAAACGGCAGCGCTTCAGCATACGTTGTCACAACAACACCTCTGGCTAAGGGACCTACTGTGGCAAAGGAGATTTGGTCAAGCGGCTCATCTTGTCCAACACAGAAGGCTCCTCTTTCCAACACCAACTTGGCAGGATCTAACTCAGCAGGGCGCTGAGGCAAGGCTCTGGTGGCCTTCGGCTTCTTGGTCTTTGTTGAGGGCTTGGCAGCATTGTGCTGAGTGAGTTCATCTGGCAAAACAAGCTGCAGTGGCGGTGACTGCTGATTGGCAAGTGCTTTCAGGGTCTTCCATGGAGCCCCTCCTGACACAGCTGACAGAACTTCCGTTTTGCCTAGGGCTTGAATCACAAGTTTCGTGCGCATTTGAACCTGTGCTACTGGGACACCATGGGCTTTGAGCAGTTCACTGGTAAGTCCAAAGACGTCGGCAATTCCAAGGCCCCAAAACCACGGTTTCGGCAAGGACGGCTTTGTTTGACAGGCAGCGGCAAAGCTCGCTTTCAGGTCTTGGTGGAAAGTCACCAATGCAGCTTCATTTTTGGGGAGGTCATGGCCTAGAAGCTTGTGTGACATGAAAGCAACTGCTGCAGCACCGCAATACCCTCGTGCAAATGATCGTCTTGTGCATGCAAGGCTGAACATAGGTCGGTTGGCAGCCTGGCTGATCAAACCATGAAGGGGGCTCAAACATTCAACTTCGGAGTCTGTATGTTCCCACATCGAAACCTGTACCTCACTGACACCAAACGTCCAAACAACCGGCATCCAGTGCTGCATGACATGAACTGCTGTGACGATGCTTTTCAAATCAGGGAATTGATCCAACCATTCTTTGACAATTGCGACATGTCCACCTTGTAGCCAACCTGTAGCCAATAAAGGGTCCAAAAATTGGACATCTGTTCTTCCTGACATCATGACACAGGCTCGGAGGTGCAAAGAAAGTTCATCATCTGCCATAGCACTTCCTTCTTTGGCAAGGACTTCCAACCTGGACGGACCATGAACAGTGACTTGACGAAAATTGGCACAACTGGCAATGCTGGTGGCAAGGGGCGGAAGCATATTGACAAGCTGGGTTTCATGTAAACGCTTGACATTGCTCAGGGTATCCATGACATGACCAGGCACGGCTGCACTTGGGACTTCGACATGGGACCGACTAGACCGACTTCCTGGGACATCAGGCATCACACTAGGCATCGGCAGACCAGTTGTGGCGGGACATGCGACCGACTCTGGCATGGTGCTGGGGAAGTCATCACCAATCGGATCATCAGCTTCAAAGTCCAAAGGGATCTGAGCAAGCATTTCCGGTGCAAGGGTCCCTACAACAGTGGACGTGTTGTTGGCATGTGCACTGGCAACACGGATGCATCTTCCGCCGACAGGTGCATGATATTCCAATGGTTGGCCTGTGGCATCATCAATCCACTCACACCCTTCGGCATCAGGGGTAAGTGCCAACTCAGCTTGAAACAGTTCGACCAAAGTTGTGTTGGGCAAAACCTGAACATGCACCTGAGTTCCATCGGCATACTTCAGGCAAGTCCAAGCAGGAGTAGCCAAAGCGGCTTGAACATTGGGGAACATCTCTTTGGCGATTTGAAAAAGCCTAGATCTGAATCCCTGCAACACTTCGGAGGGGTAAATGTCCGGGAGATCCCAAAGGTGATGTAAATGCTTCATGAGGCATGACCCAATCCAAACTGATTGCAGTGGGGATGCAAGTTGTCCAATTGCACAGAGTCCCAGTTTCAAAGGCGGCCGATTTTGATTCAACCATTCCATTGGAGGGGGCATACCATTGAGTAGGGCCAACTCACATGGGTGTAAGTGTCGAAAAAACACTTGGCCATCACTTTGTGCAACTTGGATCAACTGGGCATAAATGCCGCGTTGCTTGATGAGCTGCTCGCTGAAGCCTGCAGTCCTACATCCGCAGGGGCAATCTGAGGCCTGGCTGCCCCATGCATGAAGGCATGTTGGGAGTTTGCCATCCATCTGCATCACATACTTACGCATGCTGGAACCATCTAAGGTAAATTGGGTTGTCTCATGGTCAGTCACTCTGAGCTCATTCAAAACATCTTCAGGCCATTGTCGAACAAAAGGCATGACATCCCGGATTGTGAGGTGGGGGCTCTTTGGCCAGTCTTGCAACTGCAGGGGTCCTAAGGACGGATGCATGGCAATCAACCACCAACGAAACCTTCTGGCACACCATTGGTCTTCAAGCTTCAACGTCAGTTCAGTCAGGTGATATCCCAGTTGCGACTCAAGCTGTTGGAGACAAGACTTGACATACTGGTTTGTTCGAGCCTGGGTGACACATTCAATGATCAACAAGGGACTCTGAAAAAGATGGCATGCACGGACTGTGGCAGGGACAGTGTTGGATCTGTCATCGCTGGATCCAGCTTGGGCACCACCTGTGGAGTAAGGCTGGCAGGAAACTCCACTCATTAAGGTGAACGGTGGATCGACCCTCTTCGCAACTTCCTTCAGGCATGACATGTCATTGATATCACCATGAATCACTGGCACTCCTGGGTGACATGACTGATGTAGGTGAACCAAGGGCAGTCTCCATTCAACACTGCACGCATGTTTGAACCCTGCAGCTTCAAGTCCAACGGAGGAGCAAGCAATTCCAGCACACAGTTCAACGGTTCTAAGCAGATCGTCTGACTGGCGAAGTCCGTGGGCAATCAAAACGGACTGGTCAGTGATCAACAACTCAACAGTCGGACCAACGGAACCCACCACCACGTCAAAAACTGTCACACGGCGACAACCACGCACCTGAGAGTCCACCATGCCCACAAGCTTGAAAGGACGGCAATCAGGAACTATCACACCAGTGAGGACAGCATTCGTGTGAAGGAGACAGTCCAAGACCAGCGACACCTTCGATCCAACCGCAGTGGCACTCCAGTCAGGGCAGAACAGATGGGGACCAACGACAGGGACATCCCAAGACATGGCCAAGCAACCAGAACTGGCGAAAAACCAGAGGGGGCTGACCACTCAAACTCGGCCAGCGCCAGCCCACCTCTGGCAGGTGTTTGAGCCGAGGCTTGTGTTTGAAACCACCAACCAGAAATGTATTAAAGTACCCTTCACCAGTTGTTTTCCCAAAAAAAATCACCCTGCACCAGCCTCCAAGACGCTCAAAGATGAAGGACCCGCCTTTTTTTATGCGAGGCCGAGGACAGATTTCCGAGATTTCCGGGCACCAAAGGGCTTGTCCTAAAAATGGAGATACCCTCTGGTAATTTAACGTAGCTATTGAAAATGACCATTTATAGTGGATTTTCCCATTAAAAATGGTGATTTTCCATAGTTATGTTAGTTTACCAGAGGGTATGGTAGACCCAAATGGTAATTTTTTAATGGAACTGACTGATGATCAACCATGGGCCAAAAAACACAATGGAACACACCTTTTTGTCGGGGGGAAAAATATGGCAGGGGCCCCATCCGCCTGTAGCCACAGCTGTAAAGCAGCCCCTGTGATCATTCCCATCCACTACAAACTAGTGGTTTTCTTCACTGGATCGGTTTCTTAGGGAAACTCGTCCTGCCATTTCTTGCCCGGCTGGACTCAGCTTGTGAACTATAGGGACCTGTGAATTCTCCGATCCAATTCGGGGATCCAGCTGCTCCCGCCTCATATGCACTTGCTTGGGTTAGCAAAAAGGGCAGCGCTGCCCACACCAACCTGGACGGCAGGACCATCTCAGAGAGGATCAATGCCCTTTGGGCCAGGGTTTGACCATACAAATTGATGTTCCCCCCAAAAAATGAAGGCCATCCTGAGAAATGAACAGTTGAAACTGTTATAAACTGTTGAAACTTCCTAGTAATGGATTGATTTCAGGGAACATCTCCAAAAAACCCTGGGTTTGGCCTTCAAATACCGGCTTTACTATAAATTTTCGCTTTAACCATCCGACCTCTGCCCAATCCTATCACCGGTGCCTGGTTCGGTTCCGGACCTGAAGCGCCGGAGTCCCCATGTGACGCAACCCAAAGGCGCGCCCATTGGACATGCCGGTGCTCCTATTGAGCCCATGTTGCAGGTCGGGGGAATTGCGCAACGAAGGCACACACATTTGGCATACGCTACCCCCAAAATCAAATCTCATGGTTGATCAACATGTGTTCCATGAAAATTGCGTTGAATTGGTGTGTTTAATTTGTTGAGCAAATCCACACGTGAACTCGCTATTTTGCTACTTAGATGATCTTACATGGCTGTTTCTGTTGGTTAACGTCCCAATTCTGCGTAAGCTGTCCAATCTGCTAAGTGGTCAATGAACCTCACTGCACTGCAACTTCGCATCTTTTCGCCTAGCTTTGAGGCTTTCGCCATGTCCAGGCAACATGGACTTCGGAACGCATCGTCGTTTGACGAAGAAACCAATGCCCTTGGGAACACCTGTTCAGATAGGTTTGCCCAGGAGTTTGACCAATCAAAGTGAGGATGGCATCTGAATTTCTAGAACTGGGCTGTACCCCAAAATTCCAATTGCAATGGTGAAAATGGGGTCTTAAAATCCATGGGTTTTATGCACCCTATTTTCAGACACACCCAGGTGGAGAGCACGTCAATAAATACAACAGCCATGAAGGACCCCAATCACAAGTAAGCCAATGCTTGGTAAGAAACAGTTACCCCTTCGTCATTGAAGGTTTGAGGGGTCGGGATTGTTGCAGAAGGTACCAAATAACAAGTCATTGCAAGCTGGAGACATATAGATCACACTTGACTTGGGTACCCTAAAAATAGATGGAAGCGATATTGAACATGTACATCCGTAAGTCGCAGTACCGTTAGAAGCTACAAATCCCGGTCACGGTATCAACATGTTTTTTCGATTGCCGCACCAGTCTCTTGGGCGTTACCAGTGATCGTAGAGGAAATGGCATGGCGAAATAACATCCTTTATGCAATTCTGAGTGTATAGTCAATTACATTATGTAATGCATTCATATACACATCTGTGATCATGTTTGATTTGTCAATAGTTATAAGTAATACACTGTTTTAAATTACACAGTTCACATATATTGTACATACATGATATATATATATATATACAATACCATATATCACACCTATTGTATATAGTCTATAGACATTGTGATGCGATTTGCACATTTACATGCATGGAGCCTGTGTCCCGGCCTTGTCATCAAAGTTGTCAGAGACCTGACCAGTGGCGCCGTATTTGCACCTGTTCTTGCATCAAACAACGTTGGTTTAAAGTGGTTTAAACCTCGTAACTAGGTGAAATATGGTGAATTCTGGTAGTTAGCTTCAACAATCCCATGAATTCAGTATAATATAGTATAATATGCTAGTTAACTATGGTTCATTATGGTAAATTAGTGGTAGTTTACATTAATCTATACACTTTTCATGGGATTGTAGAAGTTATAACGGGCACCACCTTGAACCTGGCAACATTGCTTCTTTCTCCAGATCCAAAGCTGTGTTCCCTCCATGGCAAAATGACCAAACCTGGCCGTGGTCCCCAAAACTCAATGAGTTAGGCAACAAACCACATCCTTTTTTGCAGTATATGTGTTGCCCCAAATACACAAATAATATAACATAGTATAATATAACATAATAAAATATAATATAATATAATTATACTATAATAATTATAATATATGCATATATAGGTGAAGCCCATGTTTTCCCAGTGGTTCCACGCCCTTTCTCTGCAACTGAGCAACTCAAGTTTCGTGGAAGCACCACAGTGCGCGAGTTCAGTTTCTGCGTGCCTGGTCCGTGGCACCGTGGAGCAGTGGAGGTTTCCAAGGCATCCACAATGGATGGATAGGCCACACATAACTATGGAAAGATCCACCGTATTTTTCATGGGAAAAATCACAACAAAAATGGTGATTTTGCCCAAAAAGTTGTGAAAAAATACCAGAGGGTATTAGGTCATTAAATATTAATACATATTAGTAATACCTTTATTAATGAATAGGAGTTAAAGCCTGCAGAAATTGGTTGATGGAGAACACTCAAACATGCCAACTGAGGATTTCACTGAAGTACTTTACGGCATTTCACCAGCAAAGCCAAAACACTGGCTACTTGAGCCCAAGTTTGACTTTGGACCCTTCAAAAAGGGGAAACTCACCTCAGGTCACTTCAAACTTGGCCAGGAAAGTCATAGGAAAGCAGAGGAAACCAGGATTGGTTGATCAGGGGGAACTACACGAACTACACCCTTCCCTGCCTGAGTTCATCTCCTGGGCAGATCATTGGGGGCAAGATCTTGAAACTTCAAACCATGTTTTTTTGGGGGGGGTACTGGAAACTATGTCACCATGTTTTGTTGTTCTGTTCTAACCAGTACATATGGTGTGTGTGTGTGCTTCCCTTTATCCATTTCTGGGAAAGAAGAAAGTCCTTGAAAATTTGAACTAATCATTCAGTCATTGCTGCGAGTGCGGAGGAACGTTGAACGTAAACATCCAGAAAACCTTCCCATGCTATCAGTGATTCAACCCATCTTCAGTGTTTGAACGTAAACAAACAAAGTAATATCGTTTTAGGACGGTAGTGGTGCCCGTCCCTCGTCTACATCGGATAATGGTGGTATAGTTTTTCATCTCACCTTTCAACCTCGTGATAACAAACTGTCCGTCCTGTTGCTGAGGCAAAATCCACCCATTGATGTACTCAAAAAAAGAGGGATAAACCATGAGTTATTAATCATTAACCACTATTGATAGTCATTAATAGTGATTAACTAGTGACTACTAGTGATTAATAGTACTATTAATAGTACTATTAATAGTACTATTAATAGTACTATTAATAGTACTATTAATAGTACTATTAATAGTACTCAGAAGTCCATCCACCATTTAGGGATGAACGGATGAACTACCAGCTGTGGCTGGCTTAAGGTGTGGCTGATGATTTTGAAAAAATGTGCATGTTAGATTACTGGAGGATACGCAGAGTCTCAGGTGTCATCTCCAAGTCACGTGATTTCATCTTTGATCTGCGAGAGGCATATCACATGTATGTATATGTATGGTCATCATGGAGTAGATAGAATATGGGAATTTCAATCAATCCTCTGTTGAAATGATAATATGTTTGAACAACATGTTCTATGTCCAATAGTAAATGAATGATTTATTTTTACCCATCCCCATATCTAGTGTTATCATGTGTTATCCTCATCTTATATGATTTTATCATTGATCTCCCCATTTTCCTAGATTTTTTCGTCTTGGGGTTGGGTTCCCACGATTTCCCACGGATCTGCGAGATCAAATCCTCGATGTTTTCCGGCTCGTTTCGTTGGAAAGCATAGTAACCTAGGGATCTGGCTGTAAAGCTGGGACACCATGGAAGCCGAGAAATTGATGACACGACATGACCAACACAAAATAAAGGGGGGAATTACTGCAAAAAAAAAACGGCCTAAGACATCCAAAGACCATATGAAAAAAACCGGAATCATTTAGAGTAATGCATGAAAATTGGACATGTGTTTATACAGTATGTCTGCCAATGTGTGCTCTGCCGCGCAATTTTTCTCCCGGCTCGCACCTCGTCACAACAGAGCCGTGTACGCGTACGCCATACGGCGTCGCTCAGGCCAGATGCTTTGCATGGCTTCTTTAGAGGGCTTGCTGCCTGGAGGCATATGCAGTGGCATATCCATAAATTTTCGCAACTCCGTATGGAGGTGCGCCGTATCGGGCGGCTTCGCCGCACCAACAGATTCAAAAGTGCGTTTCCAACTCTTGCCGGCAAAGTAGCTGGGACACTGCATGAGTTCAAAAAGCCAGGCTAACGGGTCTATCAAACCCTCACAGGAACCTGCCCTCAGTTCCTGGTACTTCCTCTTCAAATGTGTTTTCAATGGGTGGAAACCTGCTATATCTAACGGTTGGATTTTGTCTGTACATCCGGCTGGTATGTACAGGAGCTGGACACCATTGCGCCGAGCGCACACCATGGTTTCCTTTGCGAGATGTGAGGACGCAACATCCAGCAACAAGATAGGTTGAAATGGATAAGGTTTTAAGACTTTGCCTAGATCGCGCACAATCTTGGTGATGTTCTTGCAGGATGTCCAAGCACTTTTCTGACGTACTATGTGCAGCGCCGTTTGTGGCAAGCGCCGCTGGCCCCTCAGCAACTTCTGTGTCAGCTTGGTCTCAGTCCCAAAAAGGTAGTGCGGCAACTTGCCTTGAATATGCGGCGCATCACAAATGATGCTCACATAGGTCAAAGCCCCTCGCACGTCTTGTTTCCGGACAGGCATGCGAAGACTGGCATGTCGTGGCAAAGCAACGCAGCCGGGCAATTGCAGCATGGTGTAGGGAATGCTAGTTTCGTCTAAATTCAAAAACAGCGGAGTCTTGTCCACAAACTTCGTGTTCACGTAGTAGGAGAGTAACTGCCAAAAGGTTCTCACCTGACAGGGCGAAGCCGAGCAGGGAGGCTAGGAAAACATGACCACATGTGGGAGGAGGTCCGAATTGCAATGAGCTTGCCCGGCCCCATTTTTGGAGCCGGAAAACGGTCGCAAAAACACGACCGTGCTTGGCGCCTTAGCCTGCACCGTGACTGGGTCCCTGTGCACTTGTGGACGTAGGACTCGGCGCCGCAGGTTCCACTTGGCTCGGAAGCGCTGCACCCATTGATTCACATGCCGGCGAGGCGGCAAACCCTCCAGGAGGCTGCCAAACCGCGCTTTCTCCCACGTGGCATAGACATCCAGCGATAGCGGTGCTACACCGACGTGGTTGCAAGCCAGAACCCAGTTGAAAGTGTTAGCCTCTGCCAGAAAAGCGGCTGCATGCCGCACTGGCCGTGCCCACGGAGTCGCGGAAGGTGAAAAAATGTGCTGCAAGTCTAAGTCTGTGGTGCTCAAAAACAAATCTTCCACCACAACCCGTGTTGTCCCTGAGGTCGGCTTGACTGCTGGCCACAGGGCAGCGAAGCGAAGCGCTAGCTCCATATTGCAGTCCGACAACACATAGACGGCAACGATCGCTTTGCAAGCAAGAG